GCTGCTCCTGCCATGATGTCTCAATTTTACCTGACGACCTCAATGCCAGTATGGGCAAAGCAGGTATCTTCGTCACAGTTATCGACAAATTCAGCTTCCATGAAGAAACATCCCTATATGGGTTGATTGATTTCGTCGGCGGCCAATATATGTTTTTCTGTAGTGCTAGATTCCAGCACATGAAAATTCATCAAGTTATAACTGGCGCTTTTGTAAGAGATACTGAATGGTTTAAGAATGCATATGCAGCTAGATGGCGACTTGGTAAATACTCGAAAATTCTATGAAAATATGCGGCGAGTTACAGAAGAATTTCATATGTAAGACCCAAAGACGTGATTTAGGGACTGATGCCCAAAGTATATACTGAATTTGTAGAAGGAATACTTCCTTCTGCCTACTTTATGGCAGTGAAAATGAAGCACACGAAGATAGTGAATTCGATTTCTCAACCAATGATGATGGAAAAAACGTTCCAATAACCGACAGTGAAGAGGTCCGTATAGCACACGCTCGTTGGCGAACAACAAAACAGCCTATAACTTGCCGAAACGCCAGTGAACAACTCACAAGGTGCATGCAGCAGCTCCCTTGTAGAATATGGTAAAACGAAAGCTTGCCCGATAATTGGTAAATCCAAGTTTCCTTTACATAATCCGCTAACTGCGCTAATTACCATGTCAAAAACCTCCTCCTCCTTATCGCAGGAGCGTATTGTGTATAGAACAAAAAATGTTTCAAAACTGATAAATCTAGAGTTGACTAGCAAAGAAAGTACCGTCTCACAACATTCCTTCCAAAATACAAAAAGCAGCTGCCTCCACTCTGCTCTATCAGAATTTGATATCCCCACAAAATTTAAACGGCTGTTTAAATAACGCTGATAAATACTAAAGGCTTCATCAAAATCGGTAAATTCTTCTCCGAACAGTTCACTAGCAAAGATGATTTTAGAAAGGACGACTCTTTATTGGGTGGCTTCTTTGTGCTAAATGCTAAAGAAACTACTAGAAGCAACAGAGGAGGAACAATCTTCTACAAGTATGTGCAAAGGCGCATGCCGGTGATATTGAGAGCAACATCGACCTCGAAAACACCACAGTTAGTATGACTTTCTTCAAACCGAGACGAGTGTGTCAGGTATTGAACGAGAATAGGACAATATATCACCTGCCATCAAACAAGCAAACAGTGGACTGGCTTCCCGGCTCCTACGTCACTGAATGAGGTCGCAGATAATTTCGCCCATCTTAAAACCAGCTTTAAAACTTACAAAAATTTCAGTCAGGAAACCCAGCACAGAATGGCTCTTGCCAACAGTTGCTACTTTAGACTGTGTAGGCAATTGAGAAGTAAAGTGCTCTCTCGACTCTCCATATGTCTCTCATCACTCAAGTACTGTATGTAAGTATGGATTCGGTGGTATGGATGATGTTTCCACATGATGAGTTGGTATTAGAAGTTTCTTGGGAACGGTATATGGAGCTTTAAGAAAATTGTTCTAAAGGCGGTTCAAAAGACATTTATTTATCAACTTCAAAATCTCAATTAAATTCCTATGGCAATATGTCTATAATTTTTTTATGAGAAGACCGTTAATTTTAATTACTATTTATTTATTATTATTTTGTAAGAATTAACAACTTAAAAAATTCAAAACACTTAAAAACAAAATGAATATTTTTTCTTATTAATTTACACAGCTGCTTTGCATTAAGAATTCAGCTGACTATGAAAGATATTCTGCTGATGCATTTTAATAAATAAACAAACAAATAAATAAATAAATAAAAGAAGATAGTTAAAAAAAAAATGCTGAACACTCAAGCAACAAGCATTTAAAAATTCTTTTTATTTTAATTTCAGTTTATTTTTTTCTCCCATTTTCATAACAACAGTCAACTTCTTGGCTCGAGAAAGAAGTCGCATGACCTTGACCATATTTCTTTAATGGCATATAAGACATACATCGTAATTATTGCAATGTCTTGAGGTCTACATTGAAATATGTATATATATTGTATTTATATATATACATATATATCTTAATATGCATATATATTTTATGCAAACTATATAAAAATTCATTTCATGCATTTTATTCCAAAAAAAAAAAGAAAAAAAACAATAATAACTTAAAAGAACTACCAAAACTATGAATATAGTCAATCAAAATTAATTTAAGCATTTTTAGCCGGTTTTTAAATTAGTTTATTTATATTTATTTTTTGTTTTTCACCGGCATTTAGATGCTAAGCCTAGCTTTGGCAATCAAGAATGGAATATATATGCTTATGAGCGTAATAAAGCAAGCATAACAAATATATATATATATTTATGTTCATATGCCATATCATATCAATATTTGTACATATATTTGTTAATAGCATTGTGTGTACAATACAATGTAAATTTTTGTTTGAAAAAATATGTCAACCAAAATGTCAGCATATTTCCACTTTACCTAGCCAAACAAAACGCCCATTTGAGTGTAATTGTTTTCTAAAACTGGCAGACAATTGGCACAACAATTGGCTGCTTGATGGCTTTACAGAGCTTGCCATTATATACATACATATATGCTAGACACATTTATGTAAAGCATGTTGTGAGTGTCAATTGACGGTTGGTTGCGCGTGTTCATTGACTTCGAAATGCAGACACTTGTTTTACCTGCACATTTACTTATTATTATTATTATTTTTTTAATTTAATTTTTTTATGTAAGCCATTACAAGGTAAGTAGGCGTATATAAAGTTAAAAATTATAGCAAAAAAAAAATTACACAATAAATTTTAATATATATATATATAATAAAATTATAATAATAAAATTTTAAATGAAAAGAAATGGAAAAGATTAAAAAAAAATTAACAAAAAAAAATTTAAGGAAAAGACTTACTTTTCTTCTATAAGCTAGTATATACATAAATAAAATATTGATATTTTTAAACACCAAGGCAGGGAGCCACCTGCTATAAATATATATAATTATTTAATCTATTTGATTCTGCAACTAGACTATTTTTAAATTACTAGAAATTAATTTTTTTTTAATTTTCAAAATTTTTTTTCGCGCTTGCTATTATTTTTTTATATATATATCTTGCATGCTATATTTTTCTCTTTGCTCTCTACTTTATGTATTCGATTTGCATATTGGCTACTTTGTAGACACGTCATTATTGGCATTGCTTATTTGTTTGCATGTTTGTGTCTTAGTGTTTTTTTTTCTTTGTTTTATATCTTATGTTTCATATTTAATATTCAATGTTATATGCAGACTGTCAATGAGACACAACAAACACAAAGGTTGCATAAGAAATGCGTGTAACAATGTAAGCAGTGCATTTGTGCGTTTGTCAAGCATTTGATGGGATTGAAAAAGAGAACAGAAATTTGATATGTTGACATTGACTAAATTAGAATGAGTGAGAAACAAATAATTTTTACTTGATTATTTTTTTGTTCAATTTTTGAGCTGAAATAAAATCTTTTTATTTATGTGCCTTCATTTTTAAAAAGTTTTTTTCCTATTTAAGTTGAAAAATCTTTTTTGAAACCCCTTAGCCCAGATTGTATCATGCTAACTTCCACACAAGCTTTGTACAGCTTTCCAAAAAAGTGGTTAAAGCAATTAAGTTCATTTATAACTAATATAAAAAATGAAAATAAACTTGAAATTAATTACTTAGTGTTCAATATTAATTCCAGAGCTTTCAAAAATGCTATTAGCAAAGCACAAAGCTATGTTGTAGAAGCTTCATTGGAGCTTTCACGAATTCAGCTTTTAAATATACGAATTTTAATAAAGCTAAAATAACTAATGCAAGATTTGTAAGCTTTTCTGGCAATAATTTCCAAAAAGCTTTGTAAAGTTCACCAAAAGAAGTGTGCAGAAAGGATCGGGATAATTCAAAATTTATATTGTGAATGAAAATATACATCAAATCAATAAACTTGTAATCAATACTTGTTATGCAGCTAAAATAATTCTAATATGCTTTAATTTTCCAGGTGAAAAGCTTTGGTAGAGCTTTTATTAATTTTGAATAAAGACTTAATAATACTTTCCAAGACTTTCGCAGTTTTTTATACCCGCTAACTCTCTCCGCTTTGATAAGCTGTCAAAAAAAGCTGAAGTATGTATTTTTTAAAAATACAATGAGCTTTTGGATTAGAAATTGGTTTCGAAGATAGGAACAACCGCTGTTTACTATGTTACGCTTACATAAGAAAAACATACCAAATTATGATAAAAAAGCGTATCGTAGTAAAGTTAGTGTTTATAAAAATTCCAAAACGCTGTACAAAAAAGAAAGCTTTTCATATAAAAACTTTTTATTGGTTAGGCACCCTATTTTGTTATTTAAACTGAGAAGTTTTGCTGGTATTATGTGAAAAGTTCTATAAAATAGCGGAAAAGCTGTTTTGAGGCTTTCTTTAAAGCTTTTAAAATACGTTCAGGAGACAAGCTTTTCAACAAAACGCTTTCTCATTAGCTTACTAAGCTTTCATGAGAAATTATTAACTGAAAGTTTACACAGAGCTAAAGCTTTTGCGTGAATTTGAAAGAAAATTTTGTGAAGTGTTCATATGATTTGAAACTTAATAGAGTAAACAAAGCTTTTAAAGACATTATTTAATCTTTTAAACTATCCGACTGCTAAGCTATAGCTAAAAAATAATTAGGAAACTCTCGCTGTAGCACTTGCACTTACTAATAGCAGAAGTCTTTTAATATTGGGATAGTTAATTTACCCACCAAACTTCTTTGGAATTTTATTATGTGTAAGCTTGTAAGCTGGTGAATTTCTAAAAGAAAATTTTGAATCATTTTTTTTTTATTTTTAAAAATTTTTGAAAAACTTTTGAGTTATGAATAAAGGATTTATATAACAAAAATTTTTTTTTAATGTTTACTAAGCAAATATTTAGTACAAATTTAAAAATTTGTTATTAATATTTATATATTTTTTTTTTTAAATTTAATACTTACATCTGGCAGTGATGAGCATATTGTGACAATTGACGCGATAATCGCCAATAAAATTGCAATTTTGTGTGACATTTTGATGTTGAATGTTGATTTTTTACTAAATTATTTATTTCTAAAAGGTTAACTGTAAAGAAAGAAAAAATAAAAATGATTATTAAATATATTTAACAAAAAAAAATATTTATATATATATAAAAGTAAAGGTAAAGCTAAAAAATATATCTTTATAATTGTTAATAAATGAAAATAAATTAATAACAATCCAAATAAATATGTATATAAAATTTCTTATAATAAATTAATTAATTTAACCCATAAATATTTTAATTAATTTCTTCAAAAACTTCTAACTGAGAATTAAACACAAATTACGAACGCAAAAATTAGAAAATGTACTAACTTCAATATTTTTAACTAAACTGCATTTTGTAAGTATACTCGTATGTATGTATATGTAATTTGCTTTATAGTTTACAAACAGTTGTTTTTATTCACACTTCGGAAGCAGCGGCTTAACTGTTGGCTGTTGGCTAATAGCAGCTGTACAGGTCATAATCATTAGGTGATTAAAATGTTGACCACCAAACCCCACCCTATCTACATACATACAAATATATGCAAATGTATACCTATAATGCAATCACACATATATATTTATATATATTTTCTATAAAAATTTTCAATGAAGTTATTCGATTCTATTAATAATATTTTTCATTGCTGTTGTTCTAATAATTCATAAACTGATCAGCTGCAACCTTAATGAGATAACGTATATATGTACATATATAGTATATGTACACACACAACCAATATGTAGAAGTGAAGGTCAAAGCGTATATTAAAATTTAATGTGGCTGCATTTGATTTGTAGTTCTTGTAATAAAAAGGGTTAACAAAGCAATATTATTTAAGACAAAGAGTTATTTGAATATTTATGTTGTTGTTAAATTTTTAATTTCATTGTCTTTTTTCGAACACAGACTAATCACAGGTGCTTTACGATAATTTGTACAACACCTCTTTTATTTATACTTAATTAATTTTGTTTTTTTTTTACAATACTCTATTTTATTTTATTTATTAATAATTTATTTATATTGTTTTAAATTTAAAAAAAAAATATTTAAGAAATTTTTTATATTCTTTTTTTTATTGTACCTTTATTTTTTAAATATAGTTCATTTCAATTTTATTTAATTAAATTCTATTACATTTCGTGCTTTTTTATTTTATTTCATTTCACCTTGATGGGTTTTATTTCCCGTTTTTTATTTTATTTTATTTTATTTTTTCACTTTATTTGATTTCATTTTGTTTTCTTCACTCTTTTTTATTTCATTTTATTTTTTCCGTTTTTTTATTTTATTTTATTTTATTTTATTTTATTTTATTTTATTTTATTTTATTTTATTTTTTTTTTTTAGCTTTTTTTAAGTCATTTTATTTTATTTTTCAAAAATTTGTTATGTAAATTTTTGGATTTATTTTCTATTGTCACTATTTATATCATTTTTTGTTTAAACTTATTGTATTTAATTTTATCCAATTTTACTTTATTTTAATTTACCTAATATTTTATTAAATATTTTAATTAGATTTATTAAATTTGTATTTGTTTAAGGTAAGATAATTTAATTTAATTAAACGTAATTTAATTCAAATTAATTTAATTTTTTTATTATATTTAGTTCATTTTAATTTAGTTTACTTTCACTGTATTTAATTTTATTTTAATTTACATCATACTATTTGAATTTATTTCATTATATTTAGTTATTTATTTATTTTTTAATTTAATTTAAGAAAATTTCATATAACTCAATTTAATTTATCTTTATTTTATTTTATTTTTTATTATATTTCCTCCATTTTAAATATTTTAATTGAATTTCACTTTATTTGATTTGATTTTAATTTACTTTATATTATTTTAATTAAATTTATAATTTTTAATGTATTTATTTAGTTTTTTAATTTAATAAAAGATATAATTTAATTTTATTATTATTATTATTTTATTTAGTCGTTTTTAAATAATTTAATGTTATTTTTGTTTATTTTTCTATATAAAGTTAATTTTTTCGAATTTAATTGAATTTATTCTATTATATCACGCATTAATTAATTAATTTTAATTTATTTCTATATAGCCTATTTACCTAATGTTTTTTTTATTTTTACTTAATTTAATATAACTGAATTTTGTTTAAATTATTTTACAACAGATTATATGGCTGATGTTGGCGCAGTGGTAGAACACTCGCCTGTTAAGTCAGGATCCGTTGGTTCGATCCCTGCCATAAGAAGTCTGATGAGGAGATGTGGTGATCTCCGAAACAGCTGTCACATCTACCATTTTTCTTTGTTGTATAACAAATATTCAATTCATACAAACAAACCAGTAGTTTACTTAATAAAATTAAAAGAGCTAATTTTTATTTTTTTTAATCAATTTTATTTAATTTAATTTTTTAATTTTTATTTTTTTAATTTGAATTAAATTAATATTATTTTCAATAATTTATATTTATTAAATTAGATTTGATTTAATTTAACTTATTTATTTAATTTTATTTTTCTAATTTAATTCAGTATTATTTGATTTTACCTTTACTTATTTTATTTAAATTGATTAAATTTATCTTAATTTTAGTTATATTATATTAATTGATTTAGTTTAATTTTATTTAGTTGTTTTTAAATTTATTGGAATTTGATTTAAAACAACATAATTTCATTTAATTTAATATTATATTATTTAATTAAATTGAAATTAACTTAATTTTTTTGTAAATCAATTTTAATTAGTTTTATTTTATTTTATTTAACTTAATTTTAATTCATTTTGTTTATTTAATTTTTTCGATTTTATGTATAATTTAAATTAATTCAAAAAAATTTATTTTATTAATTTTTATTCTACTTGAAATTTTATAATTTTTGCTTATTTTATTTTATTTTAAATTATTTGGTTTATGTTTTATTTTATTTTATTTAATTTTTAGTTTTATTTTGCTGAAATTTTTTTTTAATATAGTTCAATTTATTTCCTTCTTATAATCTCTTTTTTCAAAGAAAATTTATTTATATTTAAAATAAACTATTTTCATTTATAATTTACCAAATTCCTGCTACGCTCAAATTATCACTTTATTTCCGTTTACCATTAAATAAGTTACATTTATCACCCAATTTGCATATTTACAGTTATGTAATTGGAGCACAAAATTACTTGTAATTCTCTGTAAGAAAATCATAAGCAAATCGTAGTCAATTGGTTATACTTTCAAACGTTTATCACTGTAAGTAATTAGAAAATTGTGCAATTTTGATTTTTCTTTTGAATTATTGTTTTCTGAAAAATGTATGTTATTATGCTTCCTGCACATGAACAAGGTCAATCAGTGGGTAAGGTAATGATTTAAAATATTTTTTAACTTATTTGATAGCTGTGAGGAAATCTTGATTTCGATTTGCTTGTAAAAACATTGATATTTACGATAACAAAATAAATAAAATATTTGTAAAAAATCTGCGATGGTTTATTAACAAAAGTTGTAGATAGTAAAAAATGGCATATTATTTTATCAATATATTTTAGTTTTATGTTTTTATATTTTTATATTTTTTTAATTTTTGTTTTAAATTTAGCTTTTTTTTAATTTTGTGTACTAATTTTTAAAGTCTTTGCTTCATGTTTAACATAACCTACAAAATGTATGTTTTCAGCAATAAATGTCAACCTCAATCATTAATATTAACTAATCAGCGTATTTTTAAAACAAATAATCAATTAAAATAGCAGGAAATACGCAAACAAAAACTGTTTCGTTTTTCTCTTCATTTGACAACTTTGAATAAATTTAATAGTATAAAAAAATTCATAAAAATACTATTTTGATGAGATTTAAATATATTTAATTTTATTTGCCTGAAGTGTTTTTTTCTCAATTTTATGACGTATCGTTTTGTGTATTTAACTTATGTAGCCTAAAGAGATATTTTTTGTAATTTTATACACCATAGGTTTGAAAATGGAGTTTTACTAGCGAATCGATGCTGTGGTAGAGAGATAAAAAAATATAAAAAAAAATCTGACTAAAACTCAGTTAAGCCCGCGTTTAGCCCAACAAAGTTGTTCATTAATAAATGTCTATTTTTTGTTTTGCTGGTTTCATATTTATTTCTTATTTCACGAAATTTCTATGAATACGGTTGAAGGGGAGAATACAAGAATTTCGGCGCAATTTTGTCATTATAAATATTTTATTATATAAGCGCCGAACCAAGTTTCTTTTCTTTAGCTAAATATACGTGAATTTATAAAAAAAAATGAATGTCTGCTTCTTGCTTAGAATTCAGAAAAAAAACAAGTTTTCTAATTTGAACTTTTTTTAGTCTCACAGTACAAAAGAGTATTACTATACTAATTTTACATACTTCTATTCTACAACAAGAAAAATTTAAATTTTTTTCTCAAAGAATATTTCTTCTCGGCACTCATTTCGTGTTTTTTTTTTTAATTTTTTTAAATAATTTTTTCCCCACTTAACTGGTACTCGTTTTGTTTGCTTTGTTATATTCTTTTTGCATTTTTTTAATTTTTTAACTTTTTTAAGATTTTTGTTCGACTTTTTATAGTTTTTTTAAATTTTTCATTATTATTTTTTTCATTATTTTTATTTTTTTCTATTCAACGATCATCTTTAACTCGTTAAACAGGCTAATTATGCCGCTGACGCACCTAAAAAAAGTTTAAATTATAATAAAATATTTTTTTTATACATTTATTTTTTTGCCTGCTCCTTTACCGGTATTATCTTGGCTTACATAGAATTTATAGTAAATTTACAACTTTGAATTTATTTGTTGACAGTTTTGCGTTTTTTTACAGCAGTTGTGATGAACACAGCTGTTAGGCTAAGTTGGCTCGAGTTTAATTAATGTTAATATACCTTTTGGAAGTCAAGGAATATATTATATTAAGCAAAGCAGCAAAAAAAATAATTCGATAATATTTTAGAAAAACATAATTTAAAAAAAAAATAAAAAATATTATGCTTAAAAATTGAAAAAAAAAAAATAAATAAAATATTAAGGAAAAAAAATAAATAAAATATT